TAACTAATCCTTTTTCGTATCCAGTGAGTTCGCTGCCCAGTAACATGCAGCAGTGGCCAATTGCACAAGAGGTTTATTGCAGTTGTAGTGGAATTTGGAAAAACACAACAAGCATCCTCCTAAAGAGTATGAGGTACAATTTCAGTTCATATCTGTTATCAGAGCTTTCCTTTTTGCAAATTCTGCATTTCCCTTGCTTCTTTTACTTGGGTGTCCTCTTGTATTTGCAACATCAGAAGCAATAAAGAGCAGTTCTGCCTTGACCTTTTATCTTTTGTTGTTGTTTGTTTTATTTGTATAGTGTTTATCAAATGGATCATATGTTTTCATTTGAGGAGGGCTACTTCTTCTTTTCCCATAGTATTTTCCATTGTCCTCCAGAGAATTTCTTTTCTCCCTCTTCCAACATCAGCAATGAGATGCAGACATCACAGTACATCACAACAGCAGTGACTAGAAAACGTGTCATTTTCTTATTAAAATGTTTCTTTCCTAACACTACCTTTTCATCTAGCTTTCTTGGGTAACCTTAAAGGTACCTCTAGGTGATGACAGTCTGTATGTCTCCAGTCTGCCTTTTCCCTGAGAAACTCCAAATTGGAATAGAGATTGCAGGTCAAATAGTGTTTGATTTATAGTGAGGGTGATCAAACTCTGCGACAGGTTGACCAGATAGGTTGTGGGGTGTCCCACCTTGTTGATGCTCACAACCCAACTGGACTACAGTTCTGAGCATGATCCTAGTCTTGCTCTAGGTCATCCCTGCTTTGAGCAGGGGCATTGGACTAGGCAATCTCCAGAGGCCCCTTCCAACCTCTACCATTCTATGAAAATACATTTTTCCCTCTAATTGCCACTTGTGTGTGAGTGCCCTGGATTTAGTGCATCACCTTCCTTGTGTCTATTTCTTTTTCATATTGTCTTTCTGAAGTTCCCGGTATTACTGGTATTACCTTTGACACTTGAACTAATTTTACGCACTTCAGTTTCCCTGTCATGATCTGTGGACTTCTAGGTCACTCATCAGTGTAGGATCATCAGATAGATAACTCATGTTGGAGAGGAGCTCAGGACGTTTCCAGCACAAGGTCTTGCTCAGTGAAGGCTATCTCTGAGACCATACCAAGCTATACCCAGTCTGGTCTTGAAGATCTCCAAGGATGGAGACGATGAGCTTTGGAGATCAGATGAGCTCAGGCATGTTGCAAGTGGCGTGGCCATAGGCAGATGTGAGCTGGTGCCAATGCTGTATCATTTCTGGAGATAGTGCACTGATAACCTGCTGAAAATTGCCTGTGTATCTGTTCTCTGTTTAATACAGTTTAACCTAAGTCATTTCCAGTCTGATGCAACTTCTCACCTTATGACAATTGAGCTTCTCCAGCAGCCTTTTGTAAAGGTTTTATCAAAGGATTTCTGAAAGTCAACACTAATTACACATACCAGTGTTCCTCACTGCTAATTTGACACACTTCAGGAATACTAATAGAGCAGATCAGAGACATGACTTCCCCGCGCAGAAGCCATGCTGCTTTGTCACGATGGTAATTTGCTTGGTTAAGTGTTCTGTACCTTTGCCATGATCTAGACGTACATTTTCATATCATTAGCCCAGTTCTGATGCAGAACTTTCTGGTCTGTCAAGATTTTCTCTCCCCTAACACTTCCCTTTAAAAACAGGCACAGCGTTGCCTGCCCTCTACGCTTGTGCAGCTGGAGCTGGTTTTCATGCTAGACAATGTATTTTTGGGAGCGGCTCAGGCAGCTCGTTCATACGTTCCTAGAGAGTTTGGGGCAAGTGCCAGCCAGAACAGACACCATGCTGCAAAACAGAGGGATTCGGATGTTCTACGAGCAACTTCTTTGCACTCCAGAGATCTCCTTTGCCCCCTCCTTGCTGCCCCTGCAGCAGGGCTGGGTGCCATCTCCCACCAGGCACTACGTAAGTGCAGTGTAGGCAAAGTTCCAGTTTTCTTCACTGAGGTTGCAACTCTTTTTTTTTTTTTTTTTTTGTCTTTCTGGTGAGGTTTCAATGGTGCTTTCCTTGCCCACAATAGTTCTTGCTGTTTGCTGGAAACTTTTGTTTCAAAGAGGCTTTTTCTGGCAGCAGGGTGACCTATATGCAAACAAATGCGCAGCGTGTTCTTTTGAGCCGGAGAGAGGCTTGCTAAGTCATTCTCTCTTTAGAATGAAGGAATACCAAGTGTGTGACAATGATTTCCATGAAGAAGGCTCTGCAAACTCAGCACAATACTGAATTCAGCTAAAAATTACGCATTTTGAATTAACAGTGTATGAACGGGTTCCAGCCCTGCTTGCTGCAGGCTCCAGAGCCTGAGTCCTTCTTTTTTCTTCCAAGGAGAGGAAGAAAAAAAATAGGTGAACTCTGCTAATTTCCTTGCTACTACATGCCAAAACCCTAAGGTGACCTTCTCCCTTTGTGCTCTAAGCCTTTCTCTGTGAAAATAAGCAACAAACTTCCCAGGATGGGGGGCCTTCCTGCAAGCATAGCTGGGGACCCCGTGGAGCAGAGGCTGTGGTGTGCAGCCCCAGCATCGCAGCAGCACATCAGTCGGGTTTCCTAGCACAGGAGGCAGGCTCCCTCGCCGGTGGGGAAATACACCACGGTATTTTCAGCACTTCACAGGGCACGCAACTAATTTAAGAAAAAAAGAAAAAAAGAAAAAAAAAAAAGCACTTGATGAGAGCTGTAGTTAAAAAGTAGGAAATTACTAATTAGTAACCAAGTAATTCAGGGTTTGATTCACACAAATTGCACTGTTACCGTAAAAAAAGGATCGCGATTTCAGGCAAACAGTGTTTTTTATTAAAAAAAAAAAAAAAAGGCACTGAAAGTGTAATTGGTGTTCTGTTCATTACCTGCCAGGTTTCAAGTTTCATGTGCATTTCGTCACCATCTGAGACTTACAGGCAGAGGACGTGCCTGGAAAAAAAAATTAAAGCTTTCCCCGTCGCATTGTCATTTGCAACTCTCAGGTTTTCCCACTAGATTGTTCTTGTAAACTCCTCTTGCATTTCATAGCACGCAAGAGTGACCACTTAGAACATCGTTATAACGCTATCGTTAGCATCAGAGCTCAGTTACACAGAACACTATGAGTGGGATGAGCCAAGTATCATTTTCTCTGTACCTTAACGTAGTACTAATAAAACGATTGCTGTCAATTCTTCTCGGTAGTGCCACTGTATGAGAAAAAAATAATAGTAAAAAAAGGATTTTCTTTTGGTTAAGAAATCCAACCTGTAGCATAGAAAAACAAAAAAATGTCTCCCTCCCCTACCTGTATGCAGATAAATAAGTGTATTTGTGTCTTTCCTCTAGATATGAAGTCAGTGAAAGGATGATGGGTACCGAGTTGTTTGTTTGTTTTTCTGTTAGTGTAGGCATTTCGGCTGCATACTCAGAAACGTAGCGTGAGTCAGCGGTAAACGTTGCAAATACCAGCTACAGAGAAGCTGCAGGCTTCTAAGAATTCCAGTATTCGAGTTCTGTAATGTTGGCAAAAATACCTGTTTTGTAGAAAGCGCCATCAGGGCGGCTGACTTACAAATCCTGTAAACTTGGGAGGATGGCGTTTTCATTGAGAAATGTAGTATATATTTACAATCAGCACACGTGTCTTCTTAAGTCTGGTCTTGCCTAGATTATCGGTATCTTTTGAGCAACACCTTAGGAAAACGATGTCCTGGTTTGAGTGCATGGCAAGAGAAGCAGTTTGAAGTCATTTTGTGCCTACTTCTGTGCCTGTATATTGCGCTAGCAAAGGAAAATGCTGCAAACATCCACTTTAAAAAAGTGACATGGGAGGAATTTTTCTTCCACTTTCTCCAGGAGTCAGATATTTGCAGTGCAGCAGAATTATACCAAAACACCCTACTCTGTCACCTCGACACTGTGTTCCTCCCAGGAGGCAAATGTTTGCAATAAGGAGAATAAGTAATTCCTTAAAATACTTGAAGTTTGCATGTTTGCACTAATTTACCTTTGGCAGCAGCTAAACTAATAATCATAATAAATAATCATATAAACAAATAATCCCTTTTCCTTCGTAAGCCTTGAAATAAGTGTTCAGTTTGTTTTGGGGTACCGAGGGCGTTCGGATACAGTGCAGGGTTTTCGCTTTCTTAGTCAGAAGAACTGAAACAGGAAAACACTGCAAAGAGCATCCAGTCTGGTGCTCAGCAGAAAATTTTGCGTAAGAGAAAAATGACTTCAGCGTGTCCGAGTGCTAACGGGGCTCGCGTGGTGTCGGGCGGTGGGGAACCCGAACCCCTCAGCACCACCACAAGCCTGATCCCCGTGTTCAGAGGCGTTGAGAGCCCGACGTGAGTCAGAAATCGCAGAACGGCAGACAGGGAACTTCCTAATTCACACGCTGGTACCGCGTGTCGTGCGTCCTACCAGCGTCTGCTCTGTTGTCAGCACGGGGAGAGGTGTCAGCGGGCAGGAGCAGCCCCGGCGCCCACGTGCTGCCCGGCTGCCCTTAGCTGGAGCTCCGCAGAGGCCAGGGGATTTTCCTGTGCCTGTGGGTCTGGAATTCAGAAACTGCTCTTTTCTGTAAATGACATTAAACTACAAGTGAATGTGTGAAAACCTGGAAATGGATTTCTTCTAAAGCCACTAAATATCTCCCTCTCCCTTCAGGCTTAAAATCTGTCTGAGAAACGAGGTCACCACAGGCAGCAGCTTGTCCCCATCAGATACAGCCTCACCTTGCCTTTCACTTGAGCGGAGGTCTTTGGTGTAGCCATGCGGCACTCTCTGTCCGCCTGAGAGCAGGCTGGGGTTTTGCGGGTTTTTTCCCTCATTATAAAAATAACAGAAGCAAGGACAAAACCCCTTTTTTTCACTATTAGAAGACACAACAGTCATTCTCGCCATTTTTGCTAAAATCTTCTGAAATCCCCCATGCAATGTTGTTGCGTTGACTAAATCGAGCGCGGCTCCTCACTGCCTCGTTGTGTTTTCTCCGCTCCAGGGTGTGAACGGCATGTCTGTGGATGAGAAGACTGACTCCCCCATGTATGTGTATGAGTCAACGGTGCACTGTACCAATATTCTCCTCTGCTTAAATGACCAGCGCAAGCAGGATATTCTCTGCGACGTGACGCTCATCGTGGAGGGGAAGGAGTTCCGCGCCCACCGGGCTGTGCTGGCCGCCTGCAGCGAGTACTTCTTGCAGGCCTTGGTAGGGCAGACGGAAAATGACCTGGTTGTCAGCCTGCCAGATGAGGTACAGTACTGCCGCCGTCCCTCAGCCCGAACAGGGCACGCACCCGCTCTTCACCGCCCAGGGATGAGGCGGGCGGGTGCAGGTTTTGGGGTTGCGGCTGTCGTTTTGGGGTTGGGATGGGCTGAGGATGAACGTGTTCACACAACCTTCCTCGCTTGAGAGGGCAAACCTCACCCACATGCCTCACACTTCCAGCAGCAGAGCTTTAAAACACTTCATCTGAAAGAGCCCTGCCCAACCAGAGGGCGCTTAATTACTATCGGTTCATTCAGCGCGTTATCAGTACCCGACTATTCTTCTGCTCTTCCAGACAGGAAATTTGAAAGGGGTCACTTAGCCGCTGTTAGACAGCAGGTTATTGTTGAGAAATGATGTGAACTGTCACATTGTTTGGAGTCTCATCGCTCATCGTGGAACCGCCTCTCCGGCAGTTCGTATCCCTGTTCTCCTCTTCCCCCTTCCCTGTGTCCCGTTCAGCCTTGTTCCCTGTCTCCTCCAGTCACAAGCAGTTTGGGATTTAACTGCTTCGGGCCTTGTGTGTTCCACGAAGAGAGCACCAACACATTCTGCCACAGAGCAGGGTTTTTCTCATGCACCACAGCTTACACATCAGGAAGCCAAGGGACGTAGAAAATATGTACCTCACTGGAAAGTTCACTTTATTTTACCACAAAATCTCACTGGCTGGCTTCCACCCCCACTGTAATTTCCTCACAGCCCCACGGCTGCGATGTCACAGCTACCATAGGGCACGCCGGTGGCTTTGCTGTGACAAGCAGGGAGATGCTTTCCTGACAGCAAAGGGCTGCCATCCCCCACCGCCGTGGCACTGCCTGCCCCGTGACCCCCTGCTGCAGGTGGCACAGGGGGTGGCGATGTCCCCTGGGGATGGGAAGGCAATCACTCGGTGAGGAGGTATGGTGGGGTACAGCATGATGCAGAGGGTTTTCTGGCATCATTTGCTTAACACCCATGAAGAAGTATGGGACCTTTTAAAGTGATGACAGGTCCTGAAGTGTCACACACCGTTTTTCCCCCCTCTGGTTTAGCTCTCTGGAGACCTCAGTGGCATCGTGATGTCGTCACAACGCAAGGTGGAGAGCATTAGAAGAAGTAGGTCATCGGGCATGACTTCATGAGTCCTGACACTGAATATTACTCACGAAGAAATTTCAGGCCAGACGCTTTGCATAGGAGTTCAGATATATCACAGAGGACACGCTAGGATGCACACTATCATTCGGCGCTGTCCACTAATAATTTCCAGTGGAAGAATCGTGTCTCAGGCAGTGTTGCATAGCTTTCACACTGCAAAGCAAGGGTGGTACAGCAGGCATGAAGGGAACAGGAGAGCATCAGAGCTCTTCTACAAAGCCTTGGCGAGACCTCTTGGATACCATGTGTGATTTCTTAGACTGAGATGTTCAGAAGAAGGAGACATGGGCTTAAAGGAGGAGAAAAGACCATGGCAGGTTCACCCTGCCGGAGTGATGGCTGCAGGGAGCTACAGGTCCTTGCATAGCTCTGTACAAGCTGGCTTTTAGTAAAACTAGATTGGAAATTAGCAGATTTTTAATCACAGCAGCAGTGAGGTGCTGAACCACTAGCCAGCAGGAGGAGTAGGGCGATATAGAGGGATTGTGCTGCATCCGCCTTTGAGACCAGAGGAAAGGACTTCATAACACAGTCCTGTGTTCTTGTGGTGCTAAGGATTTAAAACACAAAGATTTGTCTTTATGTGTGTTTTATGTGGCATGCTATATAAAAAACATTCTTCCAGCCCAACCACAAATGATTTCTATTTAAGTGAATCCCATTTGGATAAATGAAGTATCGGGGTTTTACATTTTAGAATGTATCTCAGTGAAAGATGGAAAAGCCTTAGTGAGTTAGGGTTACAGCTCAGTTGCTGTTACAGCCTCAGCAAAGACCGTGGATTCGCAGAAGCAATGAATCCAGGTCCTAAGGTTTTTTCATTACTTTGAAATCGTCATGCTCCACCTGAGAACAATAGGGATTTTTTTGCCACATGCATCAATCAGTTGCAGAGCACCAAGGCTTTACCTTTTTCATGCTGGAAGAGAATGCTCCTGGGCTATCAAAAAGGATACGTACAGTTACTAATGCCTAATTGTACAGATATTTTCCATGTGAAAATTAATTGCTGATAACCCCGCAGAGTCTCCTTTGCTCAGCGACTAATTTATTAGAATAGCTATGTGTGAGGTGGCCAGTTAAATAATTTCCTCACAGATGTTAGTCGCTGAGGGTGAGGAGAGCTGCCAAATGCAGATTGTTTCTTCTCAATGATTCCTTGGGTAAGGAGCATGCCTCTGCCTCCGGTGTTGCTCTGCTTCAGAGCATGCAGTTGGGTAGATGCCTGTGCTTGGATATGTGAAGTGCCTCCGACAAAGAACAGTGTCAGAGCTGCTCACAAAAGGAACTGAAACACTCGTGTTTTTAAGAGCTGATAGAGCAGAGGGAAGAACCACCTTATTTATATTACATTAAAAGAAGTTAGCAGGGTCTTTTTCAGTTCACAAGCTAATGGCTTTTCCTAGGGCTGTTGTTTTTTAGTCCATGGTCTGCAGAGCTGTGGGAGCCCATGAATTATTTCTAAAGGTATCTGTGAAAAGTGACTTAATTTGTCACGTAGGGGCTTATACCGCCAGTGGAAAAATTTCAGACAAAAGTTAAACTTTGTATCCTGGGCCAATGCATTGTTCGTGCTTAGAGACAACTTACATTGGCATGCAGTTGTTTTAGAAAAACAGAGATTGCAAATCATTTTTTAAATACAGTCTTTGCCGTTCAAATCCTTCCAAAAGGTGACAATCACCCCTCAATGAACAAAGATGTATTAAAGTCAAACATACAAGCATTGCATTGTAAGCTCTGGTGTGGTTTGAAAACTGCTAAAGTACGCAATTTTGGGGAATGAGCATTTATTATTATTTATCCAAGGTTTCATGTTGGCGCTGGACAAAGCTTCATATGTAAAGCTTTTGCACTCGTGTAGTGTTGGCATGAGGGAGCTAAACATGAAAACAAAAGAACTTCTTTTTGATTATTCAAGGCAGTAAATCTGCCTCTGAAGACTGGGTTGCAGACCTTTTTTTCACTTCATAGCACATTGGGGTCTTTTTGTTAATCTGGCATCCAGACATTGTTAACTGTTGTCTAGCAAAGCAGTGAACAGATGTTTTTTTACATTATTTCTTGTTTATATCCAATTATCAGTCTTTATGATATGCCCGTCATTTCAGTGGTGGGACCTTGCACACATGAGGAATTGTGACTACTTAAACTTACCGTGTTTCAAACCAATGTAAAACCTTGTGTCAGACATTTCATGTCAGTTCAAGCGTGACTGAACATGCCTCAGTTCAAACCTTTTCCCGATCAGCTTATTCAAACTAAGTCAGTATGGAGCTAATTTTGCACTGATTGAAGAGTTTCCATAAACCCTTTCATGCCGACATCAGTAATTCGATTTCGTACTACACCTCTCTTTAAAGCAACATATTTTAGTGTGTAGATAAGCGCTTGGAAAAACAGACACGTAATAACAAGCGCTCAGATGTGGCTGTGGCGTGTGAAGTGTCAGGACTCAGAGCAGAGTCAGGGATGGAGTGTGTCAGCTGCAGCTGTGTACAGCTAATAAAAAAGGACCCTGTTAGCTCTTAACTTCTACTCTTTCCTCTTCATCTGCAGTTTTGGTAAACAACTAGAACCTCGTGTGCTTTTCAACCCTGGTATTTTTCAGCAATCGTGCAGTTTTCATGCAGCAGCTGCTGTTAAATGCAACCTAAAATTAATATTTTCCAAGACCCGAGTTTGAAGCTGTAAAGTTACTCATTCAATCCATACCCCTAACTGTTGTTTTGTTTTATTTAATCACAAAAACTGGTCTTCCTTCCTTTAACAAGGCACTTAATTAAGCTTTTAATTCATGATAAGAAGTTAAATGGCACTTATGAGGCTTTTTTAATGGTTTCCACTTCCCATCCAGATTACAAAAAAAGGTGTGATAGAGAGGCATACACGGCTGTCAGCCAAGGGTATTGTAGGTCATGCCAATATTAGCTGGCAGCAGGCCATTATCCAATTAACATTGCTTCATCGCTGCAAGTAATAGCTCTTGAGTAGATGATTGAGTCATTCATGCTGTAGTGGTACTCTGCTTTACTTGAGCAAGAGCCAGTGCTCCGCAGAATAGGCTTTTTATTCGCTATTATTACCTGCCTCGCTTCACTAAGAGGAGCACGGGGGGAACAAGGCTGGCTGGCCGAGCTGAGAGACGGAGGCTGGACAGAGGAGCACCTGTGCCCACAAGCACCATCCTTTCCGAAAGCTGAGGCTGCCATGAAATGATGACAACACAGGGGTGGAAACATCAAATAAAGCCCCGCGGTTGTGTGGGATTCCTGCAGCTTGCACATGAGATTGCTGACCTTGCTTGGATTTTCATGACTTTGGGGTGTACGTTTGGAAACAACCTTCACCCGGTTAGTCCAGCACCAAACGCCTTTCTCTCCGGTGACGTTAAACACGGGTCTTCTGAAGGAGCTTTCAAGCTTTCGGTGGCACTGGTCCGATACTGTGATGTGCATTATAAAAGCAGCTTGCTTCTCGAGTGGCTTGGTTAGTTTTACGTGTAACCCTCTGATTTCTTCAGTCTGTTTCAAAGAGTGGCTACTGGTGGCTTTTTTTCAGTGTAATGCAGTGTCTGCTAGGAATGATGCCTTCCTTAGTATTAAATTGAGTTGTCTGTGGCTTAGCAGCCTTCCAAGGGGCAAAGGGAAGCAGCATCTCTTTAGGAAGGGGGTGTGTGATGTGCTTGTGGAGCCTTTTCATTTACCTGCACAGCTCTTCCCTGTGATTAGCAGAATGATGTTCATGGTAGAGGTACGCTGGCATGCACCACGTGTCAAGCTGCTCCGCATCCTTTCTGTCCTGCCGCTCACCAAAGGCTGCTGTGAAGCCTGCCGTTTCCCCAC